GCCATTTTCTTTCCAAAAGGCGTATGACAGTTTCAAGTAGCCTATAACATTCTTACACATCTATAAAACAAAGAAAAAAAGTTTCATCTAAAACGGTGCACTCGTTTTCCCGTGAAAAGCGAACAAAAACACGTCCGCGAGCGTTACCAACAGACAGACAGAAATTGAGATAGGGCTTGTTTCGGCTTCTCTGGTGTATGAAACGTGAAAATATGCAAAAAAGTATACTATTCTAAGCAATGTACAGACAAAACTCTTATTTCATTTATATAGATTAATTTCGTCTTATTTGCCGGATTTATTATTTTATTAACTTGTCTCTATTTATAGGGTTTATTACAATATTTTTGTCTCAATTTACGGGGATGCTTACAATCTATAGAGTTTATTAATACGTCCTCTTTCTATCCATATTGTTTTGTCATAGTATCTATATGCATAATTATATCGATTTATTATATCATCTAATAGGTTCGTTATTTTTGAATGTTAATTTGTAGAGTTCATCCTTGAGCTTTTCTTTAATTCTACGATATTCAAATTCATCACTTTTTTCACATTTACTATATATTTTTTTTAGTCCTACTATCTATACATTGTGCTCACAGAGTCCATAACTATTATGTTTTTATCCTGTACTGGGGTTCTGTTTTTCTCATCGAAACTTTTTTTGTGTATTATTGTCTGATATTCCTTTCCTTCTTCAGGGTTTATTACCGTGTGTTCTTCCTCGTCATATACTTCTTTCTAAGTAACCATGCTTTCTTACATAGACTTAATAATGATGATGTTCCAGATCCCCGGGTATTGCTTCCTCGGTCGTAATTGTGTTACAGTTTTCATCAGCGACAACATTAATGTACTAGCATATGAAAATCATGCTCATAAAATGATATTAGCTTTCTATATTTTGTGTAATCATTGTCCACGTCTAAGAGATGTTATTTCACTTTCTTCCTGAACACGATTTGATAACAAGGGTCCTTTCTTTTACTCTACAGGGTTAATATTATAATTTCTCATTGTCTCTGTTTAGAATAATTATATAAGTTCACGTTTCTTTCTTGTATCTCTAGAACTCATTCTCTTTCACATAGTATCAAACTGTATGTTAATTATATTTGTCTAAAGGGTTAATTATTGTGCGTTCTTTCTCTCTGTCTTCGTTATCAAACAATTGTGCTGTTTTATTTCTTTACATATGCTCCATTTTAATATTCTTTATGTTTTTAGAAGCCTAAGGAAATTATAATTCATTCAAATAATAATTAAAGGTATTCAAATTACATTAATAATAATAAGTTTTCTATAGTTTTTCTTCTACATTTAGAAACACTTTCTCAAAATCTGCCCTAAATTTCCCGACTTATTTGTGACAAAAGCTAGCTTCTATATTGATATATCGTTAAATACTTACAGTTAATGTACTTTGCCCAACAGAATCGCCTAGACTGTGTTCGATGTAGATGAGTTCCTCTTGAGTAATTGTTGGATGTTTAGAAGGTTTTTCAAATGATTGCCACATCCAAAAGATATACCATATGATTCCACAAGCACCTAAAATTGCGATGATACATAATTATTGAGTCACTCGGTGGAATACTTTCCTATGGATTCCTCACTGGAACATAACAACTCATTATCAAATACGTTAGAGTAGTCTTAACTCGCGTTAAGTGTACTCGTACTCGTTAATGTGGTATCATATGGATGTCTTTCTAACCATCTTAAAGAACTTCGAAACATCACGTGTTTTCAAGTACACTATATAGGTAAACGAGCTGCTAAAATTAAACAACAGAGAGTTTTAGAAAATAGAATAAGATTGACATCAAAAATTAACATATTTTTTTGTAGAACTTTCTTACTCTAAAACAATTCGATGAATAGGCGTAACTTGAAGATTTTTATTTCAGGAATCGAAAGTCATCGTCATACTACAAGTTAATTATTGCTGTATTACACAGCACTCGTTAGTCTCGATTCATACCTGTACAACTACTAATTAAAGTTAATGATAAGTATTACACAGCACTCGTTAGTCTCGATTCATACCTGTACAACTACTAATTAAAGTTGATGATAAGTATACACAGCACTCATCTCAGTCTCAAATCATACCTGTACAACTACTAATTAAAGTTAATGATATGTATTACACAGCGCTCATATCAGTCTCAAATCATACATGTACAACTACTAATTAAAGTTGATGATAAGTATTACACAGCACTCATATCAGTCTCAAATCATACCTGTACAACTACTAATTAAAGTTAATGATAAGTATTACACAGCACTCATCTCAGTCTGAAATCGTACCTGTACAACTTCTAATTAAAGTTGATGATAAGTATACACAACACTCATCTCAGTCTCGAATCATACCTGTACAACTACTAATTAAAGTTAATGATATGTATTACACAGCGCTCATCTCAGTCTCAAATCATACCTGTACAACTCCTAATTAAAGTTGATGATAAGTATTACACAGCACTCATCTCAGTCTCAAATCATACCTGTACAACTACTAATTAAAGTTAATGATAAGTATTACACAACACTCATCCCAATCTCAAATCATACATGCACAACTCCTAATTAAAGTTGATGATAAGTATTACACAGCACTCATCACTGTCTCAAATCATACCTGTACAACTACTAATTAAAATTGATGATAAGTATACACAGCACTCATCCCAGTCTCAAATCATACATGCACAACTCCTAATTAAAGTTGATGATAAGTATTACACAGTACTCATCCCAGTCTCAAATCAAAACTCTGAATATGTCATGTCGTTTTACACAACACATCCAAAAACTCACGTAGAAAACAGGTCCCTCCCGATGATTTAGTAATGGTTGGCAAGTTCAGTTAAGTCATGGAATTTTCTCATTTCTTAGCCAAATTTTCTTGCACAACGATAGTATAAAAAAACGTACATAAGAAAAGTTAATATCGAAAATTGCATGTTTATGACGTAGTTTTTTATATTTTATATATTATCAATTTTTTATTTTCATTGTTTCAAGTTTGTACAAATGTTTGTGTGTATTTGAAAAAACTGGACAGTGGTGCTGACATCCCGATACAGAGACAATTAAAGGGATTGAAAACTGAGAGACAACAAATAGATTCACATCAGTGTAACCTAGCGGACAAGCCGACTATCAGGATTGTGTTTAATTTGATATATTTTAAAACTATGAATAGCTGATAAATTAAATACATTTCAGTTGTGTCGTAAAAACTGATAACATACCGCGAATTCTTTGCGATAGCTTATTTTTAAACAGTTAAATAGTTTTCGTTGCAAAACAACTATTAAGTACTTATTTTCACTAAAAATTCATTAAACATCTATTTAGTTTATTTAATGTTTACCGTAAATAACTCAGTATATGTTATTTTCAAACATTTATCGGTATTTAGCAATTTGTAAACAATAAACAAAAGTCAAGGAAAAACAATTAGTTAGGTTTCATAACCTTCTTTCTATGAGTGTATCTCAGTTGTTAAACCTAGTACGGAATTTATGAAAATGGCTTCCAATCTTAGTATGTATAATATGTTATTCTTGACAGCCAAACTCCGATCAAACATGTTTCATCTAATAACTCACCATAGAAATAAAAACACGCCTGCCATCCTAGGTGATCTGTCAACAACCCCGATAGAGGCATTCCCATCACTGCTCCAGCATAAGAACCTGCATAAAATAAAGTCAACAAATATGTCTCTCTTTCCCTCCATTTAGTGATGTTTAGGACCATCTATCAATCTGGTGTTTATGAAAGTTAGGGTGGAAAACATCTAACAATAAAAAGATAAAGTTACGTTCTGTGAAAGTCGGGCAACCCAAACAACATACTCAGTTTACTACTTCCTCGTGCTTAAAAATGTACTCATAAAACGGGTTAAAGTAACCTCCTGTTCATTGAACAAATTAAAGTTAAACATTTACAGTTAACAAATTATTGTATTTTTATAATCCTGTATTTTCTAGGAGATTTTTGAATTAGTTACGAGCTAACTGCTAGAAAGTTGTAATGACTGGCACATTTCTCAACACCTAATGTTTGGGATAAGCATTAAACTACCATAGGACTAAAAGCATTTAAGACTACCTGTATTCTAATCGTCATACGGGTCTTTAATTTAGTGGCTTTTGTTTAGTAACTGATATATATATTAAAGACTTTGTCTGTAATATAAAAAGTTAGAATAAAAAATTGCATAAAATCAATATTTTTAAAGTTAATTTTGTCTGAGCCAACCTTACACGCCAATGACGTTTGATGAAATTTGCTTGTCAATTGATTTACAACAATAAAAGATTCAGGGATGTTTTTATACTGATTATTAAAATAAGAAACTGGAATGTTAATATACAACACTATACCACGATAAGACAGTCTTAAGTAAACATTTCGACACAAACTTTATTTAGATTAAAGTGAAGACTTACCACAAAATGCTAAAGTAGCCAGACGACTTCGTTCAAGTGGCGGAGCCCAGTGCCGCCAGATGCCGTGACAGGCTGGATATGTCACTCCCTACCAAAATTACGTTATTAAGAATTGTTATCAAACAAAACGTAGATCGAAACGAATGACACGTATGTTATGTACAGTTCAGGGTTTCGTATGTAAAGTACTAAGTTTAGCAAATGATCAGAATAATCACTAATCAGAAGAACCAAAGCTGGTTTTTGCTACTCAGAGATCATTACATCCGAGTAATAAAACCGATTTTTCTTAGCTGTATACGCGGTATTTCTTCTGATTTTAACTACAACATTACCGTTGTATTATATGTTGCATTTAGTTTAAGTATTGTTGTATTATATGTTGCATTTAGTTTAAATATTGTTGTATCAAACTAAATGCAACATATACATATTCTTGTATTATATGTTGCATTTAGTTTAAATATCGCTCACACGTTAATACCTTATGTTTCTTCAAAATGAAATGGAGAATATCGAAGCAATTTTTCTTTCAAAAGGAAAAAAAATATATACTTTCCAAAAGAAGTGTATCTGTTAAGTTTTGTTGTTATTTGTGGAAACATATATGATGATTTTATTCTACGTAAATGATGTAAACCAAATTTGCAAGACGCGTCCCTATCATTGGTTAAGACTATGAGTTACAGTTTATTCCTACCGGTAAACTTCCAAAAACTAAGTTTTATCTTGTGATTTATATGAAATGGAGCAACTAAGATCGTTAACTACGTTAGTCCATGAGTTCCATGCAAAATAATATTGAAAATAAAAATTTAACATTGCAAAGAAGACGTTTTTTGATCGTTTATAAGCAGTTTTAAGTAATTTAATGCTGTGCAGGATGTTCTAAATTAGATATATATTTATACATATATAATTTTTGAAATAGCAACGTTCGAATGTAAATGTTCTTCCTGCCATTACCGTCCTCTTGGTCTCAACTAACGATGTGCTGTGATAAATGGGTATTACTGTATTCCACAAATACAGAACCAACTTCTCAGTTCTTTATAAAATAACCAGTTATTACGAAGCTATAAACCTTACCTTAACCCTTCATTTGAATAGTCAGATCGTTAAAGGGTATACTATTTATATACTTACTGCGTTGATAAAAAATGTCTCTAAGCCATTATCTTACAACTGCTCAAACCATTTATAGCATACAACGCTTGAATAAATGTAAAACATACAGACGTTTGTAGATGGAAACTATACAAATTAATGGTAGTAAATAAGACAAAAACCATTTACTGTTTATGTAGAGAATTTACACTGATCAGTGAAGGTAATAATAAATGCCAAAAATAGTGTACATAGTGTTGAATAAATAAGTTTTTGTTCTTTATTTAAATAGATTATCAAGTAAAGCATATCGTGAAACTTCTACATTAACATTAGCTGATGAGTTAATTGAAACTCTAAATGCTGAAAGTATTTTTAAAGCGTTTTCGTTTGTTGTTTTTTCCTAGATTCTATTCAGTTCAAAACGTTTAGTAGAAATCCATTTGTTAGCTTTTATTAACAATCCAACCAGACATTCTAAGTGACAAAACTAACCTGTCGTAAGTGCTCTAAATGTGAATTCTGTTTAAATAAAAAATTGCTTCCATTTAAAAAGTGGTTAAAAATATAATGTGCGCAATATTTTTTTTACAGTGTTCAATCAAGCTTCTCGAGTAAAAGAAACATCATGAACTGCATATTACTTCCATATTTTGGTTTTGGTTTCTATATAACGCATTGTATCAGTTTATCATTCTCAATCACTTGTTGTCCTGCTACAAAATTAACTACAAAACAGCTTGTGTCTCCAATAACCGTTCATTCTGAAGTGACTGCTTTAAAACCAACATTATCTCCTTCCAAAAAAACACTTTAGTGTTGACTCCGCTATCTCTCAGGTTCCATTAACATACACACAGACGTACATACATACATTTACTTGCGTTATACGTAACACAAAACCCAAATAATATCTGTCTGAATTCTTAAACCAAACTCTAATGTCAATTAGCTGAAAGCGAATACATCAGATTTTAAGTATGATAAAGATATATACTCCCTTCATAGCACCAAAATTTTCTTTTTACATAGGGAATGAAGTAAACCCGCATACTACAAAACATCAGAAAACGTATAAAAATATTTTAAATATGATAAGAGCATATACTCCCTCTTAGCGCCAAAAGTTTCCTACACAGGGACTGTACTAAGCCCCCATGCTACAGAACATCAGAAAACGTGTAAAAAACATTTTAAATACAACAAAGACATATGCACCTCATAGCACCAAAAGTTTCCTACACAGGGAGTGTACTAAGCCCCATGCTACAGAACATCAGAAAACTTGTAAAAAACATTTTAAATACAACAAAGACATATACCACCTCATAACACCAAAAGTTTCCTACACAGGGAGTGTATTAAGCCCCCATGCTACAGAACATCAGAAAACGTGTAAAAAACATTTTAAATACAACAAAGACATATACCACCTCATAGCACCAAAAGTTTCCTACACAGGGAGTGTACTAAGCCCCCATGCTACAGAACATCAGAAAACGTGTAAAAAACATTTTAAATACAACAAAGACATATACCACCTCATAGCACCAAAAGTTTCCTACACAGGGAGTGTACTAAGCCCCCATGCTACAGAACATCAGAAAACGTGTAAAAAACATTTTAAGTACAACAAAGACATATACCACCTCATAGCACCAAAAGTTTTCTTCACAGGGAGTGTATGTAAACCCGCATACTATAAAACTGCGTCAAGTAAATTAATTTTGATGAACAGCACAATAGTTTTTATTATTATTTTAAATTACAAAGACGGAATATACATTTAATATCCCATTAATTTTGACATAACAAACTCGGGTGTTAAATTATAAAAAGATATGAATAAAAGTAGAAAAGAAACACATAATTACATGTCAATCAAACTGTATCTGTTACATCCATTGCTGATGAGATCCTTCACCCATTATTATTTGACTGGGTGGTTAGTTGGTTGGTTGATTTTTGTTGAGCACAAGGCTACACAATGGGCTATCTGTGCTGTGCCCAACACGGTTATCGAAACCCGGTTTTAGCGTTATAAGCCTTCAGACTTGCCGTTGTGTCCAATACAAGGGCTCATCAAACCGGATGGAATACAACTAAGTTTTTAATTACTTTTTTTTGGTAATAAAAAGGTATAATTAGTTTGAAATGTATAATGTCAGTCAATAATAAAGCGTGAACTGAAACATACGCAAGACTCTATTTGTTTTATGGTACGTTAAAAAAAAGGGTAAAAAAATCTTCAAGACAAAATCAATTCTAAAATACAAAAAAAATGTCATTTTAATTTGATCTTTTTTTATTATTCAGGTACTCCAACAGACATGCGTTGACGCTTTTGTAAATGGTACAAATATATCAAGATCGTACACTTAGACGTCGTTGCCATAGTAACAGTAATGTATTTCCGGTGACTCATAAACAAGTTCGCTGAGCGTGGCGTCGATGTGCACTGTAGAATGGAAGGTTTCCGGAATTCAGTAAGTCGTTCAGAGTATAACAAAGTCGTTTTGTTTGTTACTCACAGAAAAAGCCAAGGACAGTGGAAATATATTGCTATTTCTGTTTCAACAAAGATGGATGATAGCTTTTAAAAAGAGGCGAGCGAAGGAATAAAATAACCTCGAATGGGCTGTCTGAAAGTTTGCTCATAAATACGAGGCAGATAGTTTTAGTTAGGCAAAATACGAGGCAGATAGTTTTAGTTAGGCATACAGTTATGTTAAAACTATATACGACAATGAAATCGTAGCTAAAAATTCTTTAGAAGAGAAGTGGAAAGCTAAAATTGATAAAAACAGGTGCGAACTTCAGTGTGGCGGCAGACATTTAGCAAGTACAAATGTGTAAACATATATATATATAAAGATTTTACAGCACGATGGACAATATCACAACAGAGCATGCTTTTTCAGTCATGAGGTCTAAAAAATGTCGAAAATAGTTAAACAATGAAATTTGATTCATAAAACTAATCGTTTCTTACTGTTTCTAATTTTATCTAAAATAAAGTGAAAAGAAATATTACTGATATTTATCTTTGTCTACACTAGCAGGCAATAAAAATCTTTGTTTACACTAGCAGGCAATAAAAACAAACAACGGGACGTACAAGAACTAAGTTCTTGAAAAACAAAGGTTAAGAAATTTATATACAGTACGTGTGTGTAATGAAAGCATAGCTCACAAAACGTCCACACTTAGTCAGCCTAACAGCATTTATTTGAAGCCCTTTATAAACATGTTGCCCCCCCAGTAGCACAGCGGTATGTCTGCGGACTTACAACGCTAGAAACCGGGTTTCGATACCCGTATTGGGCAGAGCATAGATAGCCCTTTGTGTAGCTTTGCGCTTAACTACAAACAAACAAATAAACATGTCGAATGTGGTCTACAGGGACGGATGTGAGAATGTACTTAGTTTCGAGAAATAACTTGGGAAGAAGAGTTTAAACTCGTCTCACTGGCCTGTGTTGTGTTCGGATTTAGTTCGATAGATGAATATACAATCGATCATATAATAGAGTCATACCAGATAACACTCATAAAAGTGCTAACACATTTTGTAACTTCCAACTTAGTGAAATGGTTCGTGCATTTTTAAGTTTGAGATGTTTTCTGTCATATCATCTGGGTTAAAAAAATAAGTCGTGATCAAATAACCGACAGAGATAAATAATAATAAACTGATATCGTTTTAAATCACATTGTTCTTTGTGTCCAATATAATTGTATGTTAAAATCGAAACACTGGGCCTATGGATAATGTTCAGACATATGTTACTACTTTATAACTTTAGTTCACTTTATACTTTATAATCATGTGCACTTTACGATAATGGCGTACTGCGCATATATGTTTTAATGTGCAGCATGCCTTACTTTTGCATTGTAACCATGTGAATTTTACTTGACGATAATGGCTTTGATTTGTAAGAACATATATTTTAAGATGCGCTACGACTTATTATACTTTGTAACTATGTGCACTTTACTTTACGATACTTTATATTATAGTGATGCACATTCTACGTTGCAATAAGTAGGAAAGTATCAAGTGTTAAAGTAGTCAATAGGTTCACTGGGTGGGGGCCTCAGTCAGGATGTGGATTGTCCGTGAAGCATTTTACTGAAAAAGTTTGGGATCGAAACCTATGACCTACCGCCAAACTTAACAATAGTTCAAGGCTGGGCATTCATGTTCAATTATGACTTTAAGACTACTTACAGCTTCCTGAACTGAAGCACTATAATAGGAAAGTAATAGATAAATCCGAATAATAGCAGCTTTATAAGTTTATTACATTTACTCCATAATATTACACACTTTACAACATGGCACTCTTTGCATTATAGCACATTTGCTCTTGTAATGTCGTAAGCTTAGTATAAAGCATGTCTTACTTTACTTTGTAAATACGCAAAATATGCGGTACATATACTTTCCTAACATTTTACTCTGTAAGATGATATATGTTAATTTGTAATAAACTCAACCCTACTTCGTAATATAGAACTCATTAACTTGTAATGGCGTACAGTTTACCCTGCGATATACAACCTTTAATTTGTAATGGTACGCATGACATATACGGTTCCAGAGAGTTTCCATATAGTTGACATCAGGATTAATTGCTGGTCAATGCATGTTTTGTTGTTATGATTTTTTGCACAAAGTAGTCCACCATAATCCTGGTGGTATCATACATCGGAACAAAGTCTGGTCCAAATGTCGTATAGCTGGGTTCAATACTATCTTGATATATCACAGATCAATAAATCCGTCCCTCAGAAGCACAATAAGATCTCTGCTCGGATTCATATTGACTTAAGTACCACACCATAGCAACAATATATACCTTGAGACTAATTATAACAGTAATTCTACTAAAAACTTCTCCACAGTTACATTCATACTGATATCTCCCCACAAGACCCAGGCATAACCTTGTCCAGGATGTCTAACGTTCAGACAGCTACCTGAACAATAATATCTGTGCTTGCATTCATACTGATATCTCCCCACAAGACCCAGGCATAACCTTGTCCAGGATGTCTAACGTTCAGACAGCTACCTGAACAATAAGACCCACAAGACCCAGGCATAACCTTGTCCAGGATGTCTAACGTTCAGACAGCTACCTGAACAATAAGATATGTGCTTGCATTCATACTGATATCTCCCCACAAGACCCAGGCTTACATCGTGACATGGCATAATTAGTTTTCCATAACCTTGTCCAGGATGTCTAACGTTCAGACAACTACCTGAACAATAAGATCTGTGCTTACATTCATACTGATATCTCCCCACAACACCCAGGCTTACATCGTGACATGGCATAATTAGTTTTCCATAACCTTATCCAGGATGTCTAACGTTCAGACAGCTACCCGAACAATAAGATCTGTGCTTACGTCCATATTGATATAACCCCAAAAGACCGAGGACTATGTCGTAGCATAGCTATCTTTCTTTCCATTACGTTACAATTACATATCGATTTTAGGAACTGCTTTCTGGTGTAGTTTTACAGACTTATTAAATGTTTGTCCCTTTAACGTTTTTGGTGTAGTGTATTAAAGTAGCAGTTGAAAGTTGGTATTTTGGAAGAAGAATATATATTGAATGAAACACAAAGTATTCTAACAGTTATGACAATGACTTAACAGTAAAGTAACGAAACTATTATAACCATGACTCGAATAAACACTAAAGCTTCCTGACAAGTATGAAAATAACCCAACTAAACTAAACACTAAATTATCCTGGCAATTATATCAGTGACTCAACTAAACACTAAAGGATACTGAGAATTATAACAGTGACTCAGCCAAACACTAAAGGAAACTGAGAATTACATCAGTGTCTCAACTAAACATTAAAGTATCATGGAAATTATATCAGTGACTCAACTAAACACTAAAGTATTCCGAAAACTATTACAATGACTCAACTAAGCACTAAATCATTCTGATATTTATCACTCAGTATTACTAAACTTTATAACGCATACTTGTACTCAGGGCCATAGTGAGGTAAGAGGTAAATGGGTATAATTTCTGGGCCTCCCGGATCGAAGGGCCCTCCGACGAAGAGAAAAATTTAGAAAATAAACCAAAATTAGATGGCTCACTGAAAAACATATGTTTACAACTGAAACCATGATTAAGAATAAGCTTGACTGATTCCTGAAGGACCTACCAATTATATCGAGAACTGAAACAAACACTTAAGTATTCAAAACATTAGTCCCATAGGTTGACTAACTAATGGTGTATACTTACATGTACCAAATGAACTCATATAAACTACCGAAAACTAAGCGATAGAGGTACGCTATAGTGATGGCATTCCAAGTCACGTGTTGCCCTTGGAATCATTTCTTCTATCATTGATAGTGCTCAAGCTGGCAGACGTGATTAAATTTTACTCAGTCGCCTCATAGACATGATTGTATTCCCAATGTAACAAGTTTCTGTGATGGCCAAAATTATATTACACATCTTGAAAATCATTTCACAGACCTTCCAATAAACGTGGACATCGGCCGTATTTAAGCAGACCAAAAGCACAAAATCCTATTAGAGTTTCAGCAGAAGACTTGACAGGTATATGGTTGAATGGGATTACTGTGATTCCAGTTTTTCCTGCGATTTTTTTCATTAAAACGGTCGTTGGTTTTAGGTGTGGCTAAAAGCATGTGAGCTTATGGCTTGTTAACGGAACCACATTAGTTTTTTGAGTTGGATTGTGCTTTTTAGAACCATAGCCTTCACTTTATAGATGACAGCGTTGCTCCGGAATGGCCTAGGGTGTGGTTTCAGAGACTGTTGCTGTCATAAACGATCTCCTTTATGACTTTTTTGTTTCCATGGAAAACACTTGAGGTCCAATCATCGAAAGTTGTTTCCTTTGAAACTTAACAAAATTATTATATGAATGTTCTTTTTTGGAAAGGACTGTTTACAAATCTGCTAGCCATAGATAAGCCTACCGGTGAAGGCATCGTACTGCCGAGTGGTCAGAAATTCACCGTACATCAAATATATAGGTGTTAGACATATCGCCTGTAACGCCACGGCTACCACCTTTGACGATTTTCCATAGTGTTAGCATGTGCAAGTCGTTATTATAAAGTGCGAATAACCCCTATATCTTTTTGTCACCAATTCACTAATTAATCCATGAAGTGTCCTCGCAGTTATTACTTAGACTCAACCAAGTCATGAGTATCTTTACCATTATTACCAGGACTCAATTACATTATGGAGTGTCTTTACAGTTAGTATTTGGGCTTATCTAAACTATGAATCGTCTTTACAGCTAGCAAGTGGGTACGATTAATTCATGAAATATCCATACAGTTATCAACTGAACTGAAACTAAGCTATAAACTATGTCTATACATTTACCATAACTCAATTAAACCATGGAGTATATTTACAGTTACTCTCAGAACTCAAGTAGATCATGAAGTATCCTAATAGTTATCTTCTGAACTCAGTTTGACCACATAGGATCATTACAGTTATTATGTGGACTTAACTAATTCATGTAGTATCCTTACATTTATTACAATGACTTAACTAAACCACAGCTATTTTTAGAGTTATTACCTAGAACTAATTAAACCAGAGAGTATCTTTACAGCTATCTTCTAAACTCAATTAAGCAATGAGTAATCATTTCAATTATCATCTAGACTCAATTAAACCAGCTATCTTCTAAACTCAATTAAGCAATGAGTAATCATTTCAATTATCACCCAAGCTCAATTAAATTTCAAAGTATCGTGCTATCGCCAGAATTCAACGAAAATATGAATTATTTTTAGAGTCATCCTTCGGTTCAACTGAATCATGAATTATCCTTTTTACCTTTTTATTATCAAGTATACTTAGTCATAAAGTGTCATCATAATTAGCATCTGAACTTAGAATTATCTAAATATGTAAATATCCTTTTAATTTTCATTAGGAGTTTACAAATCCCGAACTTAGAAATATCTAAATATGTAAATATCCTTTTAATTGTCATTAGGAGTTAACAAATCCCGAACTTAGAAATATCTAAATTTGGAAATATAGTTTTAATTATCATCTTAAAGTTACATATATATGATAAAACTAGACTTTTGAGTATATTTAGAATTATCATTATGACTCAAATAAACCGAAAGAAGACTGTCAGTTGTCACCATGACGAAATGTAGATTACATGTTACCTTTTAACACAGCCTGACACTTCTAACAATTACTGAACTTGGTTTTCCCTTAATAAAAATTAAAGCAATTAATAGGAGGATTGAATTAATCCATAACGTATTTATTTATCAGACTTACCTCAACTAAACCTTGTAGTATCCTGACAAATATCACCATAGCCGGATGAACTGTAGATGCTCCAGGAATCAGAAGATTCAGAAGTGATGACACGGCTATTGCTGTCCCAAATACCCTATTGTATAAAAATAATGGTATTATATTCAAACAACCTGCGAAAGAAAAAACACACACAACTTTACAAAAAGAGACATTTAGACAAAATAAAGCTTTACTATGTTCGGTTTGTTTATTTACCTTTCATTTAAGAATAAAGAATATAACATAGATAGGCAGAGAGAATGAATGGAAGATGGGAAATCAATAGATGAATTGAAATTATATTTAAATACTTCTGGCAGTTTATAAGTATCTTAAGTAAGGAAAATAACATATTAAAATGATGTAAGAAATCTAATCTATTTACTATATATATATTACTTTCAGATGTTTTTCTCTCTAAAATATTATGCGTATAACACACACACACACACACTGTAAGCACTAACCATATTGTTATTGTTTAATTTTAAAACATTCAAACTCTTTTTACCTATTTGCGGGATATTTGGCCGCAAGAAATCCCCCTGGGATCTGAGTAATCAGGTAACCCCAAAAGAACGATGAATCTATGACCCCAATTGTTTCAGGTGACCAGTCAAACTCGGGTCCCTATGGCACAAAGAAAAGGCGTTAAAGAACATAATAAAAACATTTTTAAAAGAAACGAGTTGCTGGATAGAAAAGCAAGACGATAAACAGAACTATATTTGATTTATTGTAAAAACTTAAACGAGCATTGATTTTTACTGAAAAGCTGTTTTTGTCTTCTAAATGAATTTTCCGACGTCTTTTAAAGTAGTTCTGTTTATCGCCTTGCTTTTGCTTACCAATAGGTTTAGTCTACAAAACCAAAACTAATAGTTATTAACTCAGTATTTAACGTTCAACTTTCTCTTAATTTATTTTTATCTACTTGGTAATAACAACACACAGAATTATTGATATTTAAAAAACACCTACAGTTGCACCATATGTAGATAGTATTCACTTTCTTACATATATTTGTTTCTACGCATGCGTATTCTGTGAACATAGAACGGCCATTCTTTTTACTAGTGGATATGAAATTTTGTGTTTTAAAAACATTTTATTCGTAAATCTAACTTACCGCTTGTATTACTAGTTTTCTTAACTATCTGTTCAATTTGGAATCCCTTTTTTGTAGCTACTCTGCAAACTTTAACTTAATCTCGTAAGAAAACCTTATCTTTAAAAACGCAACTTATGAAACTACAAAATCGTCAAAATTCAAATGAAACCTAATTAGTTTCGAATGATTAGGAGTGTTACAACAAGCCGTCCCATTGACCAATGAATAAAACGTAACAGCTTTATCTTCCACTATAAAATCTTGATGGTCAGGCTTGCTGCATGACTTGTCAAATAGCTCGGTAATGGAAAAACCCTGTTGTTGTTGCCGTTAATATGTAATGGACGAGTCTCTTGGTCCTCATTGTCCCCTAGAATAGCCTTTAGAAATTTAGTCGATTCTGCTTTCCATTACTCGCTAAATGTTGTTGTTCGCGGGATTTTTCAATGTCCTGGTTAGCAGAGGTGAATGAAGAACTTCTCGTCAGTAAATAACAATAACAGAACTTTAATGGCAGAAAGATTTTTTAATATTTAAGAAAAGATGGACATTTGTTATTTTAATCATTATCATTTTGTAAATTGGTAGATAGTAGACAAAAAAGGCTTAAACGTACAAAGAATGAAGGAACTTATACGTATATATATACAAACTGATGAAAAGATAAGAGTGGCCAGCTCGTACATTGTCATTAAAGCGCGAATATAAAACCCTCGATTGACATAAGTGACTTGTAAAGAAAAGCGAACGCTTAGACATACTTATTTTGCTCGAGTATTAAAGATAGAAAGTCCAGATTTTACAAAATTCATGAATAATTCTCTTGATTCTGGAAATAAACTACGAAAATATACTTTTCTTCAATAAATAACTTTAGGACTATAGAAAAGTAATTTTGCTTTAATCTCAATCAACATTATTATTCTCTAAAGATTTATGTTTGGTTCTTCTATTACATTAAAAGTTGTTTTTTATTGAATCGTTTCCTGAGTCTCTTTACAGAGATAGATTAACATGGCTATCTAAAATGAGATATTTAATTATAACTAACGGCCATTATCCATCTTTCCATTAGGCGATCTAACTTTCGAGGACAGATGTTCTCTCCAGTTCATTGTAATTGTTTTTGTGAGTGTGAATACCCAAGGGTATTATTATAAGTGTTGAAATATTTTTCCAAGCAACTTCAGCCATTATCTATTCATCTTTTTTTGTGTGTGTTTTTGTGCATGCGTTTCCCAACTTTAATTTATTTAAGTTTGACGATTATGAAAACAAGTGCTAAAATTATATTTTATGTTAAGAGGACTTATAAAATTCCTCCCAGTGATAACATCATTATCAAAAAAAGACTTTGAATAAAACCAAGTACACAGCGTTTAAAAATTATGTTCTTTAGAGAAAAAGATAAATATAAATAAAGATATCTTAGTTTTTGAATGTAAAATATTAACATAAAAATATTAAATTACTTTTTTAAAAACATACACTGGTGCATGCTTTCATGGCAATCACTCAAAATGTATAACGATAACATCAAACATTTCATTTGAATTAGATATTTTTTAAGAAAATTTTCCGTGACGTCTTTATGAAGTGGTGCTGTAATTCCTCTCTCAACCAC